GGTACATGGGTGTTGACCTTATAATGATAAACAATTTAACTACAAACAACGATGATACCAACAAGATCTCCTGACTTAAATGTTGATTATATCTGAAAAATATCTTCACAGTTACATTTCAGCTGGTGTCTGATCAAATATCTGGGCACTATGCCCTAGCCAATTTGACATATAAAATTAACCATTATAGTTTATCAGTTATCATATTAAATTTGAATGGTCTAAACACTACAAATGAAGGAAGAGATTACCAGACTAGATTTAAAAAAAAAAAAAAACCTAGATAAAAAACAAACAAGTGTGTTGATAGGAAAAGCACTTTAAAAATAAAAGCACACAGGCACCCAGCTGGCTCAGTCAGTAGAGTATACAACTGTTCATTTTGGGGTTGTGAGTTCAGACCCCATGATGGGTATAGAGATTACTTAAAAATTAAATATTGAGTAAGTAAGCAAATGACAAAGTAAGTAAAAGCACAAATAGGATAAAAATAAAAGGATAAAATAAGTTTACCGTGTTAACATTAGTCAAAAGAAACCTGGAATGGCAATATTAATATGAACAAAATCAGTTTTTGAGCAAAGAATTATTGAAAGGATAAGAATTCATTTTATAATGATAAAGTTGTCAATTAATTAAGGAGATATACAAATCTTAAATGTTTATGAACCTTAGAACTTCAATCTTTTAAAAAATGAATTCAAGTGTAAGGAAAAATAAATCCATGATCAGGGACGCCTGGGTGGCTCAGTTGGTTGGACGACTGCCTTCGGCTCAGGTCATGATCCTGGAGTCCCAGGATCGAGTCCCGCATCGGGCTCCGGCTCCGCAGGGAGTCTGCTTCTCTCTCTGACCTTCTCCTTGCTCGTGCTCTCTCTCACTGTCTCTCTCTCAAATCAATAAATAAAATCTTAAAAAAAATAAATAAAAAATAAATCCATGATCATAATCAGAGATTTCAATATCCATCTGTCAAAAATTAATAAAACAAGAATATTAGCAATCATGGAGCAGAGTTGAGCAGTACTATCAACCACATGACCTGAGATCGACCCCCCCAAAAACATCAGTGTAAACAATCTTCTCAAGTACACATGAAATATTTACCAAGATAGACCACTTTCTTGGCCATAAAACAAGTATCAATAAATTTACAAGAATTCGAGTCACATGACATATGTCCTCGGAGCACAACTTATTTGAATGAGAAAACAAAACAAAAATCTCTGGAAAATCCCCAGTATTTAGAAAGTATATATCACAGTAATAAATAAACCGAGTCAAAGAAGAAATCAAATGAGAAACTAAAAGTATTTTGAGTTGAATAAAAAGAAGAGAGTAATATCATTTCTGGAATCCCCCTAATGCAGTACTTAGGGTAAAATTTATATAGCTGTGTATCAATATTAGGGGAAGAAATTAACAAGAAGGAGCATATCCTATGCCTTAAAGCAAGTATAAATACATTCAACCAGCATTAATAATGCTAGTACTTGATATGGAAACCCATTTCCCTGGCACATTTTGAATTACAATTTCTCGTCTGCCTTGTTCCTCTGTGCTAACTCCACTAGACCATACAACACCTGAGGGCTCAGGCTATTCATAACATCGGTGTGTCATTTGAAACACTTCACTTTTTCCAAATGTTGGTACAAGTTAGATTGATTTTGGAGGATAGTATGGTATGTTGCAACTAGAGAAAGTTTTCATTCAGTCCTTCAAGAAACAAGCTTATTATGTGCCTATGATGTTCCAGTAATCATGAAAGGGAAGACAGAAGGGTTCCAAGTAGGGGCATAAGAAATGCTTATTGAATAGCTAAGAACAAAGCACTATATCAGGCTTTTGGCCAAAAAATATGAATAAAAACTTATTTTCTCCTTGCAAGAGTTACCAAGCTTGCAGATAGCAAATATTTGTTTCCCTACCTATAGGTTTATTCTAAGTGTCTTGAAACTTCATTGAATGTGACTTGCAGTGGAAAAAAAAATTGTATTCTACCTCACCACCTAGAAACACACACACTAATAAAGTTATACTATAATTTTTATGTTATTCTACTCTATTCACTCCTTTTTACTACACTTTATTTTAAAGTTGTGGTGGTAACAAAATGAATTTCACAACCTGCCAAAGGGTCACAATGTAGAATTTGAAAACTTGTACTGTACGATCTGAGACTTAATGCTTAATTTTGGTGAGCAGAAGTATGTGTCTGTGTATGTGTGCTCATACCTCTGTGTGAGCTGCAACCCCAAAAAGAAAGTGGGATGTCTTTAACTCACACTGATCAGAGAACATTGCAAAGGAGAGTTAACTCAAAGCGCCCACACTTTACTTGCGCCCTCACGATTTAGATGGTCAGAGCCTCTCCTCCAGACATCCCATAAGAGATTGTGGGCAGGATTTGCTGCCCCAAAGTGAAACAGAAAAAAGCAAATCCGTCTTTGAAAATAAACAGAAGCCTGAGGGAAGAGGAATCAGATCAGATACCGTGTGAGCTCAGCGTCTGGACCTTGCCTTAAGGATTTCTTATTTTCCTTCTTCTCTTTGATGAAACTCATCTCTAGCTTACCAGCTTTTTACCTTCTCCCCCTTCTCAGTAATTCCCTTTAGAGATTTCTCTTTCTCCACCCTTTTAGTTAAAAAATTCATGTATATCTGTATAGCCAGTGATGGGAGTTTTAGGGAGAACAAAGGATGATGACTGTAAAAGGGAAGCACAACATGTCTCAGTTCCACCTCTTGGTTAATCCTTGGGGACAGGTAGTAGCAGCCAGAAGTTACCAACAGGGACCAGCAGACCAGTGAGTGCATAGTGCAGGGAAGACCTCTGAATGTCATAGGGGAGTAAACAAATGGGCAATTAAGGAAAGAAGTAGGGTTAACAAGAAATAAGTACTTCCATTTTATGCTGGAATTGCACGTCAGCAAGATAGGAAGGCCAACACTTGAATTACACAAGCTTGAGTGCTGGTGTTGAAAAGAAATATAGGAAATAGCAACAAAACAGTGTTTCTGTACAAAGAAAAGAGAAAACTTGTCTTATTGGGCATGTGGGATGCACCTGTCAAAACGAAAATTACATCAGGTAGGATTAAATGGGTAAAGAAGAGTTACCCAATGCTAATGGGTAAGAGAAGCCAGAGTTCAGAATGAGCTTAATGCTGCTGAAAAAAAAAAAAAAAAATGGAAGAAGATTTTTAAGGTCTGGGTGAGCTAGTGAGAAAGCACTGGAGGAGGTGAGAGGAAAATCATAGGCCACTAGCTTTATCTAAGGAAATATAAACTTGTCTTTATGTAAGGAAATATAAACATCTCATACCTTTATGACAGGAGGTAGTTTTGCAGCTTAGAGCATGGCATCCATGAAAAGTTGGACTCTTGCCCTTCCCCAGAGACTAGAGATAGCCTGCACGGGCTTTCCTGAGTGCTACATTTCAAAGGGACTCCTCCCGGGTCATCAAGAAAGACGTTTCTGGGTTTTGAAACTAGTGAGAGGCTTCCAAAGAGAATTAAGTCTCAAAGCAACAGAGAAGGAATTTAGTTATAACATTTCTAAAGTAAATGTTCTAAGATAAGGGAGGTCAGGTGCCCGGAGTCAGGTAAAATCCTGTCTATATTTTCGTCAAGCTGTGGGGGACTGGAAGGCCATTAACGCCATTTCGGTCAGGAGAAGAGATCAGGAACTCTTACCCAAATCAGTACTCAAGACCAGAGTGGGAGATTATGCAAGTGTGGCTAATGCTGTTCTCTGGCTTCTATTAAATTTGTGAGAAGAAAAAGACTTTCTCTTATAGCCTGGGGTTGGACTGACATCTGTGTGGTGGCTATTCTGTGAGGGAAGGACAACTGTTGGGACGTAAAAGAAGGCAGCTCAGTGCTCTAGTGGGAATATAATTGGTTAACAGAATGAGCTAGACAAGAGAGCTCTGTAATTTGGGCAGTGGAGCTGAAACTTTCCTTTCTGCAGAAAAACAGCGGAGCTGTAGGTTAAATCTTGTAGAGGATTTTGGTATCCCTGAAAGGTGATAAGCACCTGCTTTGGACTATAGAGTAAGGAGTTTGTTTTTGAAAATGTTGGTTTGAAGTGTCATGAAACACAAATCAAATCATTTCATAGCTAGGAAGAGGAGCCTGCCATCCAGGGACATAGCCCCAAGTTATAGCTTTTAGCATTAAGCCATGGATATGATCGATGATGAGGAAGTCATAGACTAAGGATTCTCTGAGGGAGATGTGATTCCTTAATCTTATTTATTCTCCTCACCCAATGGAATTTGGGGGAGTTTGGAAAAGCTATAGATACTTTATCCTTATTTCTTTCCTATGATGTTTTACTTTTTCTTCTGTAATGCTTTCTATGCAATGGAGTCCCTCTATCTCTCTGAGCTGGGGGACAAATGATTCACTTAGTAAGGTGGCACTGTGTTTTCAAAATGTCCCACCTTAGATTACAAGCATAGGGCCAACAAACTAGGTGAAAATTACCTCTTTAATATTCTAGATGACTCGGGTCCTTTCTGGAAGTGTCCAGTAGGTTTGTTTTTAGGCACTTATCAAAGTTAGTAAGAAATAAATTAACTGAGGGAATAAAAATTTGCTCATTCTAGCATTGTTAATAATAATGATGATGAAAATTGGAATCAACCTAACTGAGCAACAGTGGAATAATATTAATGTAATAAAAACCCATATATGTGACATAATATGGCACCAAGCATCTCAATTCAGGTACTGAATTTAAAGATCAAGAAAACATCACAGTACATTTCTAAGTGAAAAAGGCAGAAAACAATACACAGTACTACAAAAATTTTATTTTTGACTGGAACAGTATAATTTAACACATGTTTAACGGTTATCTCTGGGTTTTGAAGATTTCATGTCTTTTTCTTTTTTAAAATTTCTATTTTCTATTTTCTATTCAATTCTATATTCTATTTTCTATTTCTATTCACATATTTCCTTGGTGTAAGAACAATTGTTCTTTACAGGCAGGAAAACGGAGAAAGGAAGTTCAGATAACGGGAGGCAATTCAGGCATGACCACAGATCTTCAGGTCACAAAGCTGCAAAGGCTCCGGATTGGCTGGACCCACTACAAACGGTATCCGGAGACCTCATTCGGTGCCCACCTCCTTTCTTGCACACTGGCTGGAGGTACTAATTCTTCTTGTAGAATATATTCTACTCTTTCTGCTGTGCTCTTTCCGACTGTGGTACGTTTCCTCAAGCCATTGCCTCTTTGGATTGCCTGCCAAGGGCTGTCTAGTGTCCAGTGATCCATTCCCACCCCCAAGTCTTCTAGGCAGCTCTGTGCTTCCTTCTCCAATGCCTCCTGCTGAGGTTTGACTTTGATTTACCCTGAACATGGGGCCTCCAGGGCCTGCTCCTCCCAGCACACAATGCCTCAGTGCCTTCTTTGTCCTATATAGCTGTTCTACCCGCTCCTGCAGCCCTAGTACCTGCTCCTTAAAGGAAGCATAAGCTGCGAAGGAGCATGTTACATCTCTCTTTCTTTTCTCCTCTTTCTGAGGTGGGTCGAAGGGGACTTATATTGCAGGGGGAGTGGGTATCTGGCCTCCTGCTTTCATGCCACTGCTGTGGCTCCGGTCCCGAAGGAAGCCAAGGATGGTGTCAGGAAGAGATAGGGTGTGCTGAGCAGAAACATGTCCTAGGTTGTCCCAGGAGCAGGCAGGGTGGGCAGCTAGGCAGCTCCAAACACTGTGCCAAGAATCTCCAGCCATCCCGGGGAAGTGGAGTACCCTGGAGACTTTACTGGGTCTCGGAGATCACATATCAGTCACACCATAGCATCTGGGAAAGAGTATATGTCAGTTGCCTTGTCTCATGTGCTACAGAGCGGAGAAGGCCAAAGCACATAGGGAGGATCAGGTCACTTTTACAGGGTTAAGAAGATAGGGTAGTTCAATGTGGTCCTTCGGTAAGGCCTGGAACCTGCCTCTACCGTTCTCTAGAATCAGAAAGGCTTCTACAAGAGAAGGCGATCCCACAGGAGGATTTGCTCACTGACTTCTCCCTTTCCGGGTGTCTGGATGAAAATAACTTTGGGGCACCCATGGGATAGCATGGAGTGGTATTTCTCCCTATGTTCTCTCTCAGAATGCTCCAAGAAAGCTGAGCGTTCCATGTCAGAAGATTCTCAACACAGCCAAGTATGCCTATAATACTCCAATCTTTGTCTTACTGCAAAGAGCTATCCTCTGCTTCATGAGCAAGCACAGACCTGCTCCCTCCATTGAGAAGGTCTTGCAGTCCAGAAGCCTCTAGTGGCCTCATTATTTTCTTTGTATCCCCTATAAGAAAAAAATCTGGGTGAATCTTTAGGTAAGAGATTGCCTTTTCAAGACATGTAAAATACCGCCACACTAAAATAATAGGATTCTGTCCAAAGAATAACTTCTGATTTACTTCTATCTTCTAAGTAGTCACAGATCTGGCACTGAGTTCTGTACTTTATGACTAACCAAGTTTAGTTTTTTTGAACATTTGTTCTCAGTGAAGGATGAAATAATAGGCTTTCCAGATATGGCACACAGTGGTTACGGTGGGAAAACGAGAGATGGATATTCATTTCAAAGATGGTTCTAATATCTTGATTACCTTGCTCTAGTGATTGTGCTAGAGGGGAACGTCCCAAGGCAATATCTCAGAGCATCATTTAAGGACACACACACCAGGAGGAAAAAAATGGCCAAATATCTTCTAGTATGCTGCTCACTTTTGTTCTTCATCTTGTTACATTGGGCGTTACCTGTTGGTGAGTAATTCTTTTTTAAGATTTTATTTATTTGAGAGAGAGAGAGAGAGCACAGCCAGGGGGAGGGGCAGAGGGAGAAGCAGACTCTCCGATGAACAGGAGCCAGATGTGGGGCTCGATCCCAGGACCCTGGGATCATGACCTGAGCCCGAAGGCAGAAGCTTAGCTGACTGAGCCACCCAGGCGCATCTCTGGTGAGTGATTTGACTGGTTCTGATAGTTATGTAGACTTGATTTCTGAGCTCTGACATTGTAATATGAAATAATGCTTTGGAATTATTTTCGATTTATATATGTAAGGATATCACTTTACTATATACATCTGTATCTATAGCGAGAAAGGCAATGCAGTGTGGTCACAAAAAAAAGCTCCCAGCCAATGTGCAAGGGCCTTTGTTTTCCCAGTTATTAATGCAGATTATGAAACCTAACTCATGGGGACTCAGTCAGGTGTGACGTTACAGTGGTGGGCAACATGCCCACAGCTCAGCACATCTCGAAGACTCAAAGCTTTTGAAAATGCTTTGCCATGAATTTGAGTGGGCGTTTGTCCTCTTTTAGAGAAGAGCCCTATAGGGAGTTTTAAAGAGACCTAGGCTCAAGGACTGAAGAGCTTGAATTTTCACCTATCTACCATGAATTTCAGGGCATCAGCAAGTGTCTTTCCCTCTCTGTAAAATACGGGAGTTGGGCTGTCTCTTTAAAGTCCTAGCATTTCCTCATGTCTTTTATGTATTGACTGCCAGTTCTGAATTGTCTCAAGTGCAGGCTAACTCCTATTAATCAAAAACTTATTTGGTACACTGGACTGGCAACATTTACGAGAGCAGTGATTGCTTGCTCATTATCTATCAGGAGTAGAAGAACTAGTCCACATTTTTGAGGGGAAAATGAATGCATGTATGAATAAAAGAATGTTTTCATATTGCAAGCTTCCTCAGTAGCAAATTAGAATTCTTTAATTCTGCTAACAGGTTAAGCCAGGATTTACCAACTATCATAGTCTGCAACTATTCTCATGTATGTCTTAGTTTCAGGCCGTCGAGAGTGGTGGCCACCACATGGAGCTATTAAGGTAAACCTTCCACTCTGTGTCTCAGGACTGGCATTCTAATCTGAGTTTTCTCTGGAATTGTTGTGCTAGAACCGTACTTCAGGAATGCCATCTGTGGCGTTCTTCAGAATCCACTCACAGGAACATGGCAGGTACACTGCTGGTACAAGAGCCCTGAGCGGAGTGATCCAAGCCGGGAATCAAGCTTAGATTTGGTCATCTGACAACCAGAGGACCCTCCCTCCCCAGTGCCTAGGAAGTGTTTATGAACACTGACAATTGCCAGGGGATTAGAGGATGTGGAGGGATTAATGGGTGACAGACCTACAGGATGATGGGGCCTGGCCATGGTGGTGATGTGGGATAAGGAAAGAAGGAGCAGAGTTTCTAAGCTCGGATAGGATCCCTCTTTCTCTAAATACTCAGCCAAAACTCTCTCTCATGTTGTATTAGAGGCACATTATCAATCTATCTATGGCTCTCATAGAGCCCCTGAGACCACTTCCTTGAGTTCCAGGAACCCCAAGCCCCTGCTTCAGGCTGCCTCTGACCCCAGCCCTGTGAGGGGACATGGGTTATCCTCCCTGATGAGACACGTCCCTTCTTTCGTTTTTCATGTTCCCTACAAAGTCAGGGCATTATGCTAAAGGCTTTCACATTTCACAACTTCAAAAAAAGGGTTGACTTGGGGATTTTGAGAGTGGATAAACTGTAGTATGTATTTTTTTTTTGACAACCTACAGAACTATGATTTATTAAAGCAATTACTTAACCCACTAACAGTTGGGGTGGTTTGTTACATAGTAATACATATGGCATGCCCACTCGAAGTTGACACTAGTTTCCCACCATCCATTTTTATTACACAACATGAATTCACACATTTATGTTATCTACCTGCCTTCTGGATGCATTTTGTTTCTGGGTCTGTGCTTATCTCACTGAAAATCTACTCTTTAAAGAAAGAACCACTAACTATCTATTATGTCTTCATAAATACAGTGAGACACTGAGAGTACAAATATGAATACGTCTTTTTAATCCTCCTCAAGGCATCACTACCTTGTGGGCCAGATAATTAATTATGTATGCAATTAGCATGGGGCAGCCATCAGTGCCTAAGGGTACAAAGTCAGTCACATCAGCTAATAAAGTTCAGATCCCCACTTGGGACTTGAGCAGGCTGTTCTTTCTTTATGGTTCTCTATTATTCCTATCCACAAGAATTCCAAGGTGCATGTACGTGTTATGGTACATATTTTAAATCAAAGCATATGGGTTTCAGTAAAGCATCTTCTCCAATTACAGGCTTTCAGGGTTTTTTTGCCCAGTTGGCATAGAAAATCTCTAAGACTATTGCCATGTCTGATAACTCTGGGAATAAAGGAGATTGAGAAAGAAGCTAAATTGCCCAAACACCATCCTGTTTATCTGCTCTTCCTTTTCCCACCAGAGGGTAGGAGGCCTCAGTACCCTGTGGCTGCCAGGACTCCTCACCAGGAGGTTGTTGTCAAAGGGGGTGAACAGTGGAGGTCGGCCTCCACTGCTCTGGGGAGGGGCAGCTGTAATGGCTTTTCCTCATCAAGTCCAGATATGACCTACCTGTCTGTGAGAGTAATTGTAACCATATCATTCTTTTCAACTGAATTTCAGGTGAAATGTCTGTATAAGAAAGTAAACTTGAGTTGGTTCACTGGAAATGTGAACCCCTGCCCTGGTTTACATCAACCCATCTGTGGCACTAATTTTGTAACCTATGAAAACCCCTGCATCTTGTGTATGGAGAGCCTGTGAGTACTCTTTGGCGGGGAAAGAAGAGAACAAAGACAAACTTAGCCTACAGCAATTACTATGTCCCTCTTCTACCAAGTGCATCAACCTTGAAGCCAGGAACTTGCTCCAGCACTGATGCTTATCAATCCCCAATCAGAAGAGCATGTGGCAATAGAAAGCCCGCTGGGGTGGAAAGCAGACTCAGTGTACTCTGTGGTATTTCAGGCCCTTCTGGCTGAGCCCTCACGCTCCCATACGCCACGTGATGTCAATTCCCATCGGCCAAGTAAAGCTTCGGTTATTCCATTCAGCCCTGAAATTCTTTGATTGGAAGAAAAACTGCGGTTTTGCCTTCTCTCAGATACCTTCCATCTCTTCAGTGTCTGAAACTCTGAGCTAGAATGAGGTGACTGCAAAGATTGGGTTCTTGTGCTAAGAGTCAGTGTTTAGGTTTTTGAGCTTATGGGAGATGATTATCAGTGATTAGACACTGGGGTCTCTCAAAACCATGGCATCAGCTTGATCTCTGTGTAAGCCAGTGTGGTTCACGGGGATTAAAATTCTCCTCGTGGCATCAGACTGAAGCCCTCGACCCAACAATCATTTTGTACTTTTGTACAAGGAGCAATGACAGGAATGTGAAAATCCCACATCATCCCCGCTCATGAGGAATTGGGCCAAAGCATGAGAGTGTTAAGAGAATAAAAAGAGGACTGATGTGCCTTAGATAACACAGGTTCAGGCCTGATTGAATAACTTATTTTCAAAGAGATTATAGCATAGGTTGTAATGTTGTCCATGGCCTCTTAGAATCATGGAAGGGTAACTGGGTAGGAAATCCAATAACCTGACTCTTGTATGTAGTCATTTCCCCTTGTGCTCTGGCTCTTTGTTTCCTTAAATATAAAATAAGGATGATAGATAAAATAATTTTAAAGAGTTTTTGTAGTTCTGACATTTTATTCGTGAAATGTTGATTCTGAATTTTTCCTTTAGGAAATCTCATGGGAAAATTAGGTTTCAAAATGATAGAGAATGCTAGCTGAGTGGATTTGGATGCCCGAGAGGATATCTTTTTTCTCTCCATCATGACAGTCCTTCTCTTGCAATTCGCGCCTCCTCCCATGTGATGGTGGCAGAGACCTGACCCAGCTGAGCTTGTATCAGGTAACTGAAGTCTCCTTAGGCCTCTTCCCTCCCTAATAAACTTTTCTGAAAGCCTGACTTAACTTGGTCCTCAGATCTGCGTCTCAGTTCTCAGAGCCAAAGGTCAAGGACAAATATTGGGATTTATCAGCTCCTGAGACTGTGGACAGTGAAATAATCTATAATGTAAGCGCTCCAAGCTGTCTTCCAAGGAACACAACAGAAATTTCTTCTGTATTTCCATGGTATTTCTTCCTGTTCCTAGGAACTACAGAGCACTGTGCTCTTCCTGCCCATTCCTGCCGTCTCCTTGCAGCAAGCCCCTCATTAAACAAACCCACTTCTAGACTCAGCATTGAGACAGACATTTACACACACCCAGTCCCCGGACCCCACTTTTCTCCATAGAAGGAGGCCTACATCAGTGGTGTCCATGAATGTCCCATTGTTTTTTTAAATTCTCTTAACACATTTCAACCTCTGAAACCTATCAGGACATGTTCTTCTTTGGGTTATATTTCTTGTGTGTGTGTGTGTGTGTGTGTGTGTGTGTGTGTGTGTGTATATATATACATTCCTAATATGGAGGGGAAAGCATCTCTTCTGCCTCTGAATATCCTCGTAAGACTGTAGTCAAGCTTACCTGTTTGTTGGCTCTTTGACCTTGACTACTATGCTGATTACAAGGCAGACACAGGACTCCAGCAAAAAGGGAAAAAATCACTTTTAGTCTATCAACTGTAGAATATGAAAAGCAAATTGCTCTGGGGGAAATGAAATATTCTCTATCTTGATGGTATGTCTATTTCCACTCTTCTAAGTCCTGGGGGTGCAGGGACAGCAAGAACTGCAGGGAGGGTTGTTTTCTAACACTACTGCTTTGACTTCACGTTTACAAATCTCTTCTCCTGTAATGATTCAACTGCTACAGGTGTCATGTCATCAATTTTTCATCTCAAACATTTTCATTTTCATCTCTACAAGTTTGATCTATCCTTCGTGTTTCTAACTTTTTTGACATCTGGAATAAGAGTTTTAATAACTATTTTTATGACTGCTAATTCAAATATTGGTGTCAGTTCCGGGACGGTTGATTTTCTTATCATGATGGATGACATCCAAAGATAGGGATTTTTGTGAATGAATTTATAAATTCATAATTTTATGAATTTTATCTCGTTTGGCCCTGAGTATTTTGATCTTTGTAGAATTAGTCTTGAGCTTTGTTCTGAGACACAGATCAGTTATTGGAAGCAGACTGACCTTCTGCGATCTTACTTTTAAGAGTGGTTAGGTGGGACCAGAGCAGTACTCACTAAGTGGCTAACTGTTGCTCATTACTGAGGCAAGCTCCTCTTGAGTACTCCACTCAATGTTCCATGAATTCTAAGTTTTTCTAGGGTAGCTAACAGGAATAGGCACTATTACCGGCCTTATATGAGATCTGGGCTCTGTTACCTCTAATCTTCTTTGGTGCTTCTTTCTTGGCTTTGGGTAGTTTCCTCACACACAAGCACCAATCAGTGATGTGCTGAGCTTTCTGTCCAGCTCTTTCATGCTGTGGTCCTGCGAACATACCACATTGGTCTCTCTCCTCTCAGCTCTCTATCTTCTCAATTCGGGGAATCCACTTGCTCTGTCTGGACTCTTCTTTCCTGTTCTGAGCATCTCTCACAATGCTGAAACCAAGATCAGTCCTAGAGCTCACCATATTTATTTCTCATCTCTCTGGAATTGGCGTCCTTCAGTGCCTGATGTTTTATATATTTAGCCTGATTTTTCTGTTGTCTTTTCAAGTAGGAGGTATATCTGGTTACTCTTACTACCTATTATTTGAAGGTAGAAGTCAGTTTTATCTTTATCATTGTTCTTAGATTTTCCTCTGATACCTTCTAAAGTCTAGAAGTACATTAGTCAATGTATTTATTAGTCATTATCCTACTGTTTTAAAGAATTCCTGGGGCACCTGGGTGGTTCAGTTGGTTAAGTCACGGATTCTTGATTTTGGCTCAAGTCATGCTCTCAGAGTCCTGAGATCAAGCCCCACATGGGGCTCTGTGCTCCTTGGGGAGTCTCCTTGCGGATTCTTTTTCTCCTTCTGCCTCTGCGCCTCCCCCTGCCCAAGCGTGCACTCTCTCTCTCTCCAAAATAAACTAATAAATCTTAAAAAAAAAAAATTCCAAAGGATAAGACTCGCGTTCTGTAATAATACAAAAATTTTCAGTGGGTAATAAAGCATTTACTTAAATGTACTATTCACAACAGTAAAAGGGGACTTTAATAATGACATTTTCCTTTCATTCAACAGTAGACATTTCCAAAGAAGGAAAGGAAGGAAGCATGTTTATAAAATACAAGCCTTCCCTCCTTTCAGTGCAACCTCTAAAAGCTGACCTCTGCTGCACATATCCCTTCACTGCTAACATAAAAGATGCTTTCCCCCTAGCTTTCCTTGCTCTGGCAGCCACTGCCCTAGCTTGCTCTCTCGCTCTCCCTCTCTCTCTCTCGCCCTCTCTCACAGCTGTTTCAAATTTTGAACTCCCTCTGTCACATTTCCTTTTGTTTGTATTCTCTAAATGTTGATCTGTCCCAGGTTTTTGTCATTGCAATCTTCTCTTTCCCCACTTTCTCTGCTTGATGATCCCACTCACCCCTGTAATTTCTCTATTGTCTGTATACTTAAAACTCACATGTTCACATAACCAGACTGTACCCATGAACTCAGTATCAGGTACTACACATCGTAATTTCATGGACTCATAGAATCTTTAAAGTCAGTAGAGCTAATCTGAGTCCTATTTTTTTCTAAGTGTACTCCTCCATGTGTTTTGGTTTAATTAAAGTCAATGTCATCATCTCTCTTTTCTCACTTAAACTCAATATCAATATACAACTTTTATATATTTCTTATTTCATCCTAAGTATAAATTAAACCCATGAGTATTTATTTAATGCAAGTCTTCATCATGTTTTAGTGGGTTATTTTTATATTCTTAACTATTACCTCCATTCTATTGTCTCAACCATATTCCTGCCTCCCTTCTAGAAGCATTTAAACATGACATGTTAAAAAAAAACCACGGTATCTTTTGTGAGTTATAATACAAACAAACATCCTAGTATGACCTGTAAGACATTTATTTCACCTGCCACACAGGTCCAGCCTAAAACCTGATTTTACACATAATGAGCTCTTGTCGGACTTGTAACACACCCTGTTTTCCCAGAAGGTGGCAGTAGAGCACCGTCATTTAAACCCGTAACTGTGTAGCCCAATGGCCAGCTTAAACTGTTCCCCTTAATTAGGTTCAGAAACGGGGATTCCTATGTAGGCAGTGAAGGAGAGCTCTCTTGCTTCTACCTAAGGTTTTGCCTGCATTTGTTACTCACCCGGACATCCCTATTTAAACTTATTTGGAGCTTCACTTCTCAAAACCAAGCAATGTTTTGCTTGATTTTACTTTTTCAGTTAAGATTTACATTTCTCTATTTCAAAGCAAATAATTTTAAAATACAAATTTGAAATTTAAATTAAAGAAAATGAACCCTGGGGGCGGGGGAGAAAGAAAGAAAGAAAATGAACCATGGTGTAAGGTGATCTTGTGGTTTGCATAGTATTTCAATGAACTTTGGCTCTCTACGCATACCCATACTCCAAGTAATTCCTGATTTTTGTATATATAAACACTGGAATATTAGCCCTAAGAAAATGAAACCTTGGGAATGTCTGGGTGTCTCAGTTGGTTAAGCATCTGCCTTCAGCTCAGGTCGTGATCCCGGGGTCCTGGGATTGAGCTCCACATCAGGCTCCCTGCTCAGTGGGGAGCCTGCTTCTCCCTCTGTCTGCTGCTTCCCCTGCTTGTGCTCTCTGTCAAATAAATAAAATCTTTTTAAAAAATAAAAAATAATGATATGGAAAAACTGAAATGTTTGCCAGCCTCTAATTATAATATAGCCAAAAAAAAAAAAAAATGGAAGAGAGCAACATGTTATATGAAAGAAACATGATGAAGGGGCGCCTGGGTGGCTCAGTGGGTTAAAGCCTCTGCCTTCGGCTCCGGTCATGATCCTAGAGTTCTGGGCTCTCTGCTTGGTGGGGAGCCTGCTTCCCCCTTTTTCTGTCTCTGCCTGCCTCTCTGCCTACTTGTGATCTCTGTCTGTCAAGTAAATAAATAAAATCTTTTTTTTATTTCAAAATATATATTTTTTAATTTTTTATAAACATATATTTTTATCCCCAGGAGTACAGATCTGTGAATCGCCAGGTTTACATACTTCACAGCACTCACCATAGCACATACCCTCCCCAATGTCCATAACCCTACCCCCCCTTCTCCCAACCCCCCTCCCCCCAGCAACCCCCAATTTGTTTTGAGATTAAGAGTCACTTATGGTTTGTCTCCCTCCCAATCCCATCCTGTTTCATTTATTCTTCTCCTACCCCCTTAACCCCCCATGTTGCATCTCCACTTCCTCATATCAGGGAGATCATCTGATAGTTGTCTTTCTCCGATTGACTTATTTTGCTAAGCATGATATGCTCTAGTTTCATCCACGTCGTCACAAATGGCGAGATTTCATTTCTTTTGATGGCTGCATAGTATTCCATTGTGTATATATACCACATCTTCTTTATCCATTCATCTGTGGATGGACATCTAGGTTCTTTCCATAGTTTGGCTATTGTAGACATTGCTGCCATAAGCATTCGGGTGCACGTGCCCCTTCGGATCACCACGTTTGTATCTTTAGGGTACATACCCAGTAGTGCAATTGCTGGGTCATAGGGTAGTTCTATTTTCAACATTTTGAGGAACCTCCATGCTGTTTTCCAGAGTGGTTGCACCAGCTTGCATTCCCACCAACAGTGTAGGAGGGTTCCCCTTTCCCCGCATCCTCGCCAGCATCTGTCATTTCCTGACTTGTTAATTTTAGCCATTCTGACTGGTGTGAGGTGATATCTCATTGTGGTTTTGATTTGTGTTTCCCTGATGCCGAGTGATATGGAGCACTTTTTCATGTGTCTGTTGGCCATCTGGATGTCTTCTTTGCAGAAATGTC